GATTCTCAACCAGTGTTTGTATGCCTATCTACTTCTACATTATTTAGCACTATCACTCATATTATTTAATATTTTGATATCTGGATTTCTTGTCTTCCCAACTATTATATTTCTTTATTTTTATTCATGCATTTATCAGTTATTTATTGTGCAAGGCACCAAGGATCCAGTACTGAATAAAACAATCATGTCCTTTGACAGTCCGGTAGGGGAGTTAGAAATTAAATTATCCCATAAAATAAGTATAAAATTGCTAAAATGAAAGTCAGCTCAAAGAGTCTAGTGGTGGTAGGAGAATGTATATAGTAATGGGTTTTTCCTAATTGGAGAGGTCAGGGAGGGCTTTTCTAGGTGAGTGACTCTGGCATGGGAATCTGAAGGATGGGTAGGAACCGACCAAATTAAGAGTGCAAAGTGGAAGAGATGTTCTAGTCGGGATGAGCTGCACCAAGCAAGGTTCATGGTAGGCAGATAACATGGTACGTTTTATGAACTGTTAAAAGGAGAGAGTGTGAGAGATCTTTTTTCTTTTTAAATGTGAAGAGCAATGGTAAGGCATGGTGTGTGTATGTGGCAGGACAGATGTGGAAGTGGACATAATTAGATGGGAATTTAGATAATATCACTGGTTGCCACTTAGAGAATGGATCAGGGTGAGTGCAGAGCATGCTGGAGGACAGGGCAGCATGCTTGAAAACTCTTGCAGTCATTTGGGAAAGCTGATGGTAGTTGGAGGAGATAAGTGGACAGATGAGAGGTATAGCAAGGAGATAAAAACAGAACTTGGTGTAGTACTTTAATACAAAGTTACACTCTGACCTTGCCCTTAAAGATCAATCAAGAGATCTAGAAAAACTGTGAATTCTGAATACAATCTGATAATAGTGCTCTTGGTATGGTGGACACAAGATTATGGTTTGGAAGTACTGAGAGCATTCTGGAAAGGCTGTACAGAGGAGTAACATTTAATCTGGACACTGGAGGATCAGCAGGATTTCTATTCAAATTTTGAGTGAAATTTTAGGCAGAGGGACAGCATCTACATAAGACCAGTGTGAAAGTGCATTTTGTTAATTAATTCACCAGCAACTTTTTAAGAAAAAGTTTATTTGGAGAGAGTGCAAGTGGGGGAGAGGGGGAGAGAGAATCCCAAGCAGGCTCCCTGCTGTTAGTACAGAGCCCAACGTGGGGCTCAATCTTACGAACTGTGAGATCATGACCTGAGCTGAAACCAAGAGAGTCAAATGCTTAACTGACTGAACCGCCCATGTGCCCCTCCTTGCAACTATTTTTTGATCCCTCTATGTGCCAGGCACCATCCAAAGAACTAGCTATCTTGTTTTATGTAAGTAATGGGATGTCTGGTAATGAAATGGGAAATGGCACACGTTCCTGCTTGGCAAAAATGTGGGAAAACAGTGCATATGATGGAAATAGAAAGGGCTTTGATTTTTGTGCCACTTAAGACTAAAGCCTATGGCAATGAGAGTCCCTCCAGTTTCTTCTGTAAGAGAGTTTGAGCAGTGTGGGTCTGGCAGCAGGGAGCTGGGGAGATCAGACCTGGGATGGGCATAGCAGCCTCGTGTAACAGGCTATGTAAGTGTTAATGAGACTTTGGATATAATAGCTGGAGGGAGAGAAGGGCTGCTTTCCAGGAATATTTTTGAGAAAGAGTCAATAGGACTGGAAAAGGACCTGGGTTTAAGGGAAAGTCAAGGGATACTGAATTTTCCTGCATGGGAGTTTGGGCAGGTGGTAATGTTCTTCACTGGGCAATATGAGAAGATAAGAAATTTAAAGATACAGATCATGAACTAGTCTGGATGTATTAAATTTGAGGCACTTGCAGTTTAATGAGGTATAGATGTTTAGGAATCTTTCCATTTGAAAACAAGAATTATCTTTCAAAAGAGAGATGGGTGTTATGGAAGAAGGTTTTGGAGCCCTGATAGTAAGACATCATTTGATGAATAATGATTGGGGATTGTGAGTATAATATGAGAAAGAAAATGGCCAATAATGGAGCTCTGGAATATCTGAATTTTTGAAGGGCAGCCGAGGAATAAGAAAGACGGAAAGAACTGTCAGTGGAGTAGTCTGGGACATTAGGAGAGTACACAGGAGGGTGTGTTGTCACTGAAATTAAAAGGGGAATGAGTATTGTAAAGAAGGGTGTGAATAGTCAGTGACGTCAAAAGCTGCAGATAAGTGCTAGGAAGACAAAGTAGAAGTCAAGAGATCTGGCAGGTCCATCATTGTTGGGAACTCTCATAGAGTGATTACATGGTGTTAGAGAATTTGTGGCCAAATAGCAAGAAGGCTGGCTAAAGAGTGAGTGAAAGGAAAGGGCAGGGGGGTAGTGAATGCAACTGTTCTTTCACAAGTGTGGGGGTGACCAGAAAGAGGGGAAGGTAGCAGGGAAGGAAGGCAGGATTTATACAGAAAGCTTTTCCCTCCTTCTTTTTAGCAAAAGAAGGTGAAACTTGGCTACATGTGCAGAATGAATGAAAGGGATTTTATGATTCACGGAGAAGGAAATAGGAGGAAGCTGATACTTACTAAGTTCATGAAACTGGCTAAAAACCAGGTGAATAGAAATGCTGGGGATAGATCGGGAAAGGAGATAAGAAGCCATCACTGACCAAGAATAGAAGGCGAGACAACAGAAGAAAGGAGCGTAGAGACTGAAGGGCACAGTCTGTTCAGAGTTCAGTTTGGTGACAAGCCTTCTACTAAGAAATGTTTTTGAAGCCTTAGGACATACAAAGTGTTGAAAAAAATGAGATCACTTTAATTTTATTTTAGGCATCTCGCTGTGTCAGTATAGGCTGATGAATAAAGTCATGAGGTCGAAATGCACAAGCTGTGTTTGAGGTTTGAGGAAGTTGAGGTTTTAAGCCAGCTGCCCTGTCTCTGGGATTATTGCTGTGTCAGCTCAGCTTAACGATTTATATCACTACTGGAATGTCCTGTCTGATGCTGAACACCCAATGAGGGTCAGTCACACCTGCTGGATTGAATTTGATTAAGGTGGATTATTTTTGATATCTGATATTCCTGTCTTTAGAACAATTTCTATGCAATTATAGGGCTTCTTGGGGATGAGGTGTATCTAATAGTCTAGTCATCTAGTACATGTCAGTTCTAAGCAGGGCAACAGCTAACCCATGTAGGAATATACCTTGAGCAGAGAGCTCCCCAGTTCTATTGCTTCACTGTTTTCCTCGGTGAGCTCTGCTCCATTGAGTGCCCTATCTCTCAATTCCTGTGAGTGTTGAATATCCTCAAGAAGGTAAACCCTGAAGACTGCAGGTTTTATTTTAAAAACATTTTTTAATGTTTATTTATTTTTAAGATAGAGCATGAGTGGGGGAGGTGCAGAGAGAGAGGGAGACACAGAATCTGAAGCAACTCCAGGCTCTGAGCTGTCAGCACAGAGCCCGACGCAGGGCTAGAACCCATGGACCGTGAGATGGTGACTTGAGCTGAAGTTGGACGCTTAACCAACTGAGCCATCCAGGCATCCCAAGATTGCAGGATTTAAACCAGGCTGTCATCCAACTGGGGGTCCTTATACTTAGGACTTAGAGTTCACAGGAGCCATCATCTCCTTTGTGAAAAACTCCTTACTTAACCCACAGATAGGGAAACCAAGATACCAAGAGATACAGTGATTTAATCAAGATTGCACAGTAAGTTTATATCAAAGCTAGCCCTCAAACCCAGGATTCTGAGCACCTTCCTCTAAGCAGGTGGTGTAATTGCTGAGACATATTCCCACTCTCTCTGCTCTGTGTTTCCTTTATTAATGGATTTCTTTCTTCTTCGGACCTCAGCAAGTATTCTTAAATGGGGGTGAAAGAACCAAGAGGAAAAATTGAATGGCTTTAAGAAGGAGAAAAGCATGTAACCTGAGGGGTTGCTTTCTTATGATGAAAAAATCATTCCTTTCTGTGTAATCCATCTTTCTTTTGCTGTATTCACTGGTATTAAAGTCCTGAGTTCTGGCTGCTGCTCTGGTGAAGAACACATTTTCCTGGCCCTAGAGACCTGGGAGATGGGGTCAGGAGCCTTCAAAGGAATAGTGGGTTACTTTATTAAAAATTTTTTTAAACATAATTTATTGTCAAGTTAGCTAACATAGAGTGTATCCAGTGTGCTCTTGGCTTCATGAGTAGATTCCCATGATTAATCGATTATATACAGCATCCAGTGCTCATCCCAACAAGTGCCTTCCTCAATGCCCATCACCAATTTCCCCCTCTCCTCTGCCACCCCCGTCAACCTGCAGTTTGTTTCTGTATTTAAGAGCCTCTTGGGGTTTGCCTCCCCCTCTGTTTGAAACTATTTTTCCCCTCCTTTTCCCCCTAGGTCTTCTGTTAACTTTCTCAAATTAAGAGTGGGTTACTTTAAACATGGCAGAATTTATTCTGCTTTTTAATACTGTGCCTAATTTTGAGAAAAGCCTGATTGGGGATACACCTACATTAAACTAGCTCAGTAAGGAGTTAATGTTTGCATTAGCAAAGGAGTCTTCTCCTTTCAAAGGAAATCTTCAGTGCTATAAACTTTTCTGATGCTTGTAAATGTTGATACATCAATTACCACTTGTCAGCATGGCTTGGAAAAGAGAAGTCTAGAGAATCTTGAACACAAATGTTAGGCCCTGTTGTCAATTAAAAATTATTCAGAAATAATAGACAACATCCCTGAGAAAGAATAGGTATCAGCAGAGAAAATCAGTTTGGTTTATAAAAACTCCACTCACAGGTACTTTGGAGCAATGCCTTGTAGAAGAAAAAGTGAGGACTGCTTAGATTGACCTTATGCTCTTTTCATTAACCATACTCTGAAAGGTCCCTCACTATTAGGAAATAAAATAGGAGGAGGTGCAGAAAGTTTTCTGGCTTCTAGGCACAGAGCATCACACTGGATGTGATGTGAGGCTGCTGACCACAGCCTATTTGAGGCACTCACACACAGCACTGTTAGGTACGTACATTTTCTCCAGGTCCCCAAATCCCAAGAATGCTCCTTTTGGGATGACTCGAAGTTTGGTGAGGACAAACCTCCTGAAAAGAGAGTAGACATAAAATATCACAACCTATCCATTCACTGATAAGTAGTTTCCTAATGTGTACTATCAGCCAACAGCCAACATATACTAAGTGCTTGTCATTTAGTAGTAGTTGCAATTGCTTTCACATGATCTCTCTTCATCCTCCCCACAAAGCAGTAATGCCCATTTTGCATTAAGAGGGAATAGGTTTAATGAGGTTTGTAGATTTGCCCAGGGTCACTTGGCTGATACATGGCAGAGCTGGAATATGAACACTTTCATCATCAGTACTCCATGTTGCCCTCCCGTAGCTTGTGTGAGGCCTCTTTTCTTTCTCTAGTCCAACCCCCAAAACCTCTTCCCTTGCCATTCTTAGCTGACCTTGCTTCCTATTTCAAAGAGAAGATGAACCTAATAGAAGAGAATTTCATGCTCTCACATGGCTTGTAACCACTAAGCCATCTGCACCTGAAGCCATACCCTGCCTTCTCTCCTGTTACCATGGGTGACCAGGACTCTGGACCTGGCTGAGAATAGTGCCTCCAATCCACATCAGATCTCATCTCCTCTCTTCTTGTTGAGGTAACCACAACAGTAATTTACCCCTTTCTTGGGTACATTTTATTCACCTATGTTTGCTTCTCTACTGAGTCCTGCCCATCAGTATACAAATATGCCATAATTTAGTTCATCAAAAAAACTCTACTCTCAACGTCAGCCACCTCCAGTTTTTGCCATTTTCTTCTACTTGAAATATTTGTTTCCCTCTTCCACAAAGTTTGTTCCAGTGGCTCCTCATCTCCTCCAGGAAAAAACCCACATTGTGTACAGTGATGTATGGATGTCCCTGCTCTCCGTTTCCACAGACCCTGTACTCTCCATTTTGACAGTTTTCCCCTTTGCTTCTCTTGTTCTTTTCACAGTACTCTCTTGCTAGTTCTTGGACATGCCAGGTTCCTTCTTGCCTGTGTTTCTGCATTTGCAATTCTCTCTGCCCGGAGCGCTCCTCTCTCAGATATCCTCATGGCCGCCGCCTCCAGTCTGCTGTTTGCTCAAATGTCACTTGTTTAGTGATGCTTTTTCTAACCACCCTATTTAAAATGACAACCTCCCCTACTTTGCCCCTGGCTCTCTTTCCTGCTCAGAGTTTCCTTCACAACACTTCTGACATTTTGTACACTTTATTTATTTATTTATGTATGTATGTATGTATGTATGTATGTATGTATGTATGTATTCACATATGTATTTATCTCTAGCCTATAACTAGAATACAGACTCCGTGAAGGCAGGAATTTTTGTATGATTTGTCTACTACTGTCTACCGAATGCCCTCAAACAGTGTCTGGTATGTGGCAAGTACTCAAAATTTTTCTTGAATGGCTATTAATCAGTCTGAGAGTTCTAGGCTTGAGAGTAGAATTATAAGTGACCCTTTTGGAATCTCTGTGACAAGAATACTATTCCTTCCTCTGGCTTTCTCTTGCTTTGTAACTGATTAGTAGGTACTTTCCCCCACTCCTCCCCGAATCTTTCCTTCCACAAGGTGGTGTTTCAGCAGGAATGAAATAAGCACTGAGGAGTTGGATAGTTCTGTAAACCTGCATTACTTCATTCTCTTATTACTTATTGGTGTTAGTGAAACTCCTATTGCAGATGAAATTATCCCGGCAAACGATATTTTACTTTAACTTTGTTTACTTGCCTTTGGCTGTCAGGTGCACCAGCTCTATGGGGAGAAAGCATGAGAGAGAATCTTAAGTGCCGTTTTTGCTTTGGAGGAGTTTATATATGTAGAAAGGTAAAGCCAGAAATGTTGGAATACCAGAAAACAGTTGTGGGATACAGTTGATGTAATAACTATAAATGTTATGCAAATATTGAAGTGAGAAAGATCCTAAAGTACATAAATACATAAAAGGAAGATTGGAAGAGGTGGGTGAATTTGAGCCTGGACTTCAAAACCATCAGGTCATACTAAACCCATGTAAATAAAAAGACATATAAATTAAGATTAAGGACTATGTACCTGGGAGACTGTCAACTTCTAGAACTCCCATCTGAAAAGAATCAAAGTTAAGGTACTCATTTAATCTTTTTAAAAAATATTTTTACATGTATTTATTCATTTATTATATGTAATTTATTGTCAAGTTGGTTTCCATACAACACCCAGTGCTCATCCCAGCAGGTGCCCTCCTCAATGCCCATCAACCATTTTCCCCTCTCCTCCACCTCCCATCAACCCTCAGTTTGTTCTCAGTATTTAAGAGTCTCTTGTGGTTTGCACTCATTTTGTCTTAAGTAACATAGACAAGTCCCTTTTGTTTCTATCACTCTTTTGTTCCTATTATCACAAGACAGAAGAATGATGAAAACAAACTTGAAAAAGCAAATACTAAGTCAACTAGATAGTGCTTTTTGATTCAACCCTAGTAGCATACAAGTTTTCTATAAACACTTATGCCTAAATGTTTCCAACCTATTAACATAATTAAAGCCTTTTTTTAAAGACATAGTCTTGACTTCCATTTACCGAAATGTTATGAACTAGATAACTTGAAGATATTTTCACTAAAATTGTCCAGAAGTCTTCTATAAATCATAATAAATATTGCTTTAATTGCATAGTTGTGCTTATAAGAAGGTATGAGAAATCCCCAGGGGCCCAAAGTAAAGCAACTGAAGACCAAATGGAACCCTGAGTGGTGAATGCAAACAGAATTCTAAAAGGATAAATTGAAGCCAAACTATTCAGGGAGGAGGTCAGTTTCTGGACTTGGTAGTGAAGGACTTGTGTTTTGATGCTAAGATGTTGTGTGAGATGAGATATAGAAGATGAAATGTAAAGATTTATTTCTCTGTGCTGTCTATTTAACTATCTCATGCAGTCTAGAAAATAAAAGGGGCAGAAAATGGGAGACAGGCAATTTTTAATGAATTAACATCTGGAAATTTCCATAATTTATAAAAGACCTAAATCTCAGATTTTGAAACCTCAAGTCCTAGGAAGGAAAACAAAATTAAATCTACTTCCAGATACCTCTGAATTAAAACTGTGGAGTCAAAAGAAAAACTATTTTAAATAAAAACAGAAATAGACCTATTATCGTCAAATAAAAATAATCAGCAAACTTTGTAAAAATATCTTCATAATTAGAGAAAATACTGCCTGGTTAGAATCCTATACCCAGAAATAAACATTCAAATGTGAGGATGAAATAAAGATGCTTTTAGACAAATTTAGTTAGTCATTAATGAAATTTCAGCAAAGGAATTCCTTTAGAGAAATAAAGTATAATCTGGTAGGAAGGCACAAAAACAAGAAGGAATAGTGAACAGAGAAATCAGTGTTCCTTATTGAATAGGTTGGTTTTCATAATGGTTGGAAAACTCACCTATTCAACAAAGAACAATGAAAAAAATATTGACCAAGAATTAGGTCACAAAGCAATTGGTATAGAACAAATAATTGTCTTTGATGTGTGGTGCATTTAAATTACTTAGAAATTAGTTAAAAGAGATAATAATTAACAGCCTCCCTCCAACAACACATGTACAAACATCTAGAAAGTAAAAACTAAAAACAAAACCCCACTCTTTTAAGTTGCACATGGGTCACAGAAGAAATTACATAATAATTAGGAATTATTTGGAATTGAGCTGTAATGAAAATACAACATGAAACTTCAGGGATGCAGCTAAGCTGCCACGTACAGAGAAGTTAAGGGCTTTAAATTATTTTACCCAAAATGGAAATAAAAAAGATGGAAATTTCACAAGCTACATTCAACACAGTGAATAAACAAAGCAACAACAGAACAGTGGAAACAAACTATAAAGTCGGTAGTTCTTTATTGCATTTCTGGGTAGAACTTACGGTACAAACTCAAAAGTCATTTCATAAGACAGTTGGGAAAATGAGGGACTGTTGAGATAGAGGTATTTTGAGAAGATAAACACTCAGCCAGACATTAAAACTTGATGTATAGATACAGTTTAACCTATACTAACTTGTTTCATTATAAAAGATTAAGTTTCAGGGCTCCTGGGTGGCTCATTTGGTTAAGTGTCCGACTGGCTCAGGTCATGATCTCACTGTTAGTGAGTCTGAGCCCCGCATAGGGCTCTGTGCTGACAGCTCAGAGTCTGGAGTTGCTTTGGATTATGTATCTGCCTCTTTCTCTGCCCTTCTCTCTCTCTCTCTCTCTCTCTCTCTCTCTCTCTCTCAAAAATAAGCATGAAAAAATATTCAGAAAATTAAAAGATTTTCTTCATAAGTTTATTGCTAACATGAGTAAGGAGTTTTCTTAGAATATTGAAAGGTTTATCAGAATAGTTTCAAGGACTTTGACTTATAACTTTACCACTAAAAATGATTGTTAGAGAAAAGTACATTTATCTGAATGTTTGTTGAATGAAACCATTAGTCACTTAAAGTTGCAAACCCTTCTTACAGGTCTGTTTTAACCAGCAACTTTGTGATAATTGATTGATTATGATTTTACTGATCTAGCTCTAATTAATGAAGTTTTGTTGAGATTTCCTTTAAATCAGGAGTACTGGTAAAGGCATTATTTTTGATGAATTTTCATATTTATTTACTTATGATCTTTTAAATGTAATGTTTATTTGTTTTGAGAGAGAGAGAGAGAGAGAGAGAGAGAGAGAGAGAGAGAGACAGATAGGAAGACAGAATCCCAAGCAGGCTCTGCTCTGTGAGAGACTCTCATAGAGCAGAGCCTGATGCAGGGCTTGAACTCATAAACCTTGAGATGATGACCTGAGCTGAAATCAAGACTCAGACACTGAACCAACTGAGCCCCTAAGTTTTCATTATAGAAATAAGGTAAGTGAGAACCTAAGAGATTAACTTTAAAACACATTTCAAAATTTAACTTTGACTTGAGAGAAGAAACCTAAAGAGAATAGAAAAAAGTAAGAGTAGAAATTAAAGATTATAATGGAGAAGATCAATAAACTCAAAAGCTAATTTTTTAGAAAGATCAATAG